CCCGTCTCTCTCTCTCTCTACTCCCGTCTCTCTCTCTCTCTACTCCCGTCTCTCTCTCTCTCTACTCCCGTCTCTCTCCCTGCCCCCCTCTCTCTCTACTCCAGTCTCTCTCTCTGCCCCCCTCTCTCTCCCTGCCCCCCTCTCTCTCTACTCCTGTCTCTCTCTCTCTGCCCCTCCCTCTACTCCTGTCTCTCTCCCTGCCTGTCTCTCTCTCTCTGCCCCCCCCCCTCTCCTCCTGTCTCTCTCCCTGCCTGTCTCTCTCCCTCCCCCCGCTCTGCCCAGCCCCCTGTCTCACCTCTAGTGCTGGGGTGGGGCTGGGGTGCCCCTCTCCGTCCCCCTGGGCCGTGGCGCTCGGCTGGCGGTGGTACTCAGCCACGTACAGACTCTTGTCGATGGAGGCGGGGATGGGCTTGATGTCGGTGCACAGCTGCTCCTCGATGGCCTTCAGGCTGAACCGGTCCTCCGAGGTGATGAGGTTGATGGCCAGACCCAGGTGCCCAAACCGCCCTGGACAGGGGGAGAGAGAGACAGGTGAGGGCGGGACAGAGGGGGAGAGAGAGACAGGTGAGGGAGAGAGAGAGACAGGTGAGGGCGGGACAGAGGGGGAGAGAGAGAGAGAGACAGGTGAGGGGGGGACAGAGGGAGAGAGACACCTCTCTCACCTGATCTCCCAATGCGGTGCAGGTAGGTCTCTGCGCTCTTGGGGAAGTCGAAGTTGATGACGACGTTGACGGCCTGGATGTCGATCCCCCGAGTGAACAGGTCTGGGCACAGGGAGACAGACAGTCAGGGTCTAGAAAGGAGCACTGAGGGCATAAAGCTGGACATGATTCTCTCCGGGACGGAGCCACTGCCCCCCGGACCCCCAGGGAGGACTGACCTGTCGACACCAGGTTCCTGCACAGCCCGTTCCTGAAGTCGTGAAACACGCGATTGCGGTACTCCTGAGGAAACAGGAGACAGACACGGCTGAGCTCGGAGACACAGGGACAACATCACACAAGAGCTTCTCAAGGAGACAAGAACAGTGTGTCTGTATGAACCCCTCTCTCTCTCAGTGCAGTGTT